TATGTATTATTATTTGATTATAACCTCAAATATTCATTTAGTTTATTTTTAATGATATGCATTAATTAAATAAAATGTAAAATTTTAGAAACAATAATACGAAATATGACTACAAATGTATCAACAATTCTATTAACAATTCATTAATATTTTAACTATTCTAAATTAAATTAATTGTATTTGTATTATTAATTACTACAAACAAGTATTAATTTTTAAACAAAAAATATTTATTTAATTTTCTAAGAAACTTAAGTGCAATATTTAAAGAGCTATTTCAGATTTACTCTTGTTGATTTCTAATAGAATATAGATTTGGAATAATAAAAATATGATCCATTAATCATTTTGGTTAAATTTCATTTCATAGAATTCTATTTAATCATAAAATAAAGAGGATCATCAACTTAAACCACAAATAATTTTATTGTTATTTGAGATTTTTATTCTTTCCAGATATGATCTTGTAGATTAGTAATAACAATATTTAAAGCAGTAAAGTGACAAAATTTATTTGTAATATTGAAAATAATGCTTCATATAATCAATCATATTATGCTTCTTTTTACAATTTAAGAAAATAGAGAAATTCTGAATGATTCTTGATAAACTTTATTGTTAATTAGAAGTTTTTAAGAACCTAATTAAAAATAAAAGAGAATTTAGTGAAAGGTATGGGTTCATAACCTTGCTGTTGCAAAAATCCTTAAGACACTATTTAAGAAATGAAGCTAAAAATGGAACATAGAAGCATCAATCATCATATTTTAGTGGCAGATCTCAAAAAACCAATTCCTTTAGAATAAATTCTGCCTCTTTAAGAAGAAGATGACTTTGCATTATTTTTAGTTATGGAACAATATGACCGCTTAATAACAAAAAGTTAACGAAAGTCTAAATCCTATTCACCTAGTGTTGATATTTAGATTATTTCAAAAGAAAATTTAACTTCCTATTACTTGAAGAGTAAAAACCAATAAAAACCTTCTAAAAAAACAAGATCTTTAACTACAAAGTTATCTACTTCTTTTTAAAGCATTGGAATTAAAAGTATTTTGAAAAAAAAAGAACTTATAAATAATAAATCATCATATTTTTAATAAGTATCGGATGTTTAAAAATCAATAAAAAGTGTTCATTTTGATGTAGCTTTGAGTCCTAAAAATAGTATTAATAGAAAAGCAGATGTTTTGAAAAAAAAAATTTTTTTAAGATCATATTTATGATGACTTAAAGCTGAATAATTATTGCATATAATCTTTGTATTATTTTACATGATCAATCATAGAAAATATTCAAAAATATCTACAAATTAATTAAAATTCATTTTAATTGAAATGATTATTATCTGTATTTTATTGGCAAGACAACTATTTATTACTTTTAAGATCTAAATAATAAAATTGATAATAAAATAAATCGTGTTTGAAATATTATTTTTTTTTTATTAATTATAATATTAGATTAATTCTTAATATTGAATAATAAGAATTCATCACATTATTATTTTATTAAAATAAAAGAATATTTATACTGATAATTATAATCATATGTAACTAATTTAAACTATCACACTTTAAATGGTTTAACTTCAATCTCTTTTATTTCTATTTATTTCTCAGCTGCTGTTGTCTGGCGTGAATCTGGAGAACGAGAAAGTTTTGAATCACGCTTCAATTTTTCTACACTTCTTTAGGCATACTCCCTAAAATTGGCTTTAGACCTATTGAAAATTTAATAATTGAAAACTAATCAGGTGTATCAAACATTCTTTGTTGTAATTAAAACATAAATTTCTTCATTTCTAATCTATCATTAGATTTTTTTATTTTCTATATGGTTTCTAAACGATCAATTAACTTAAGCTTCTCAAGATTCTCAAATCTTTTAACAGCATTAGCATGCTTGGCGAGCTCAAATTGATTTTTTTAACTAATATTTTCTTAAGACATAATTTTTATTTACTAAATAAAATTTAACAAGTCTCAATGACTTTAAATATTGGAATATAAATTAAATCCTTATAATTAATGATTAAGATTTAATTAGAAATTTACATGTATTAAATAAATGAATTTGATAGAGTAATCAATCCTTAAGTGTCTTGAAGTACAATTAATTATTTTTATATGTATATATATATATATTGATATAAAAATTATTGCAAAGATATTAATTTAATCTAAATGAGTGAATAATAAACACCTAATCGAGGGAGATTTTTATCACCTTAACCAGGTAATTAACAATCAAGAGTCAATTCTGAAAGTCACATTATCATTCCTAATGATAAGATGAAGAGATCTAATGCAGGAGGGTCAAGCGTAAGAGTAATTAATTCAGTAAACAATGTTCTTAATCCATTAGCCTCCTGTTGCTATGACATAATCAGCTGTAGTAAATCAGTTAGAGTACTTTTAAATGCCTAATGGAGCCATATAACCTATGATAACATCAAGGGTAGTACCTACACTTGTTAGACCATAATAAAGTAATGATTATTAAGATAATTGTTAGCCATTATCATTAAGTAAGATGGAGATGGGTCTGACTTGGATAAGGTTAATTAACTGTAAATAGAAGTAGAGTAATGGAAAGCAAGATTCTTTGCTCTTCAAATTACAAGCGGCGGCACAGGATTGGAAGAGCTAGTATTTAATGAAAATAAACATTTTAGACTGGAATGTATGAGATGAGACTTAAGATACTGTCAGATGAAAATGGGAAGTTGTTAGCATTAATAAAACAACTTATTAATGAAAACGAATAAAAAGACTTAGCAATTGCGTAAAGAGATAATAAAATTTATTAACTTGAATTAAATCAACATGAACATAATGCTCTTTAAGAGTTACTTAAGAAAAAACAAGATGAAAATTTAGAGGTAATATTTATTTGAATTTTCAGTTAAGAGGAAAATTATAAGGATTGGAGGAATTATTGATTGATGCAAGAAAATAAGAAATTGAAAACTTTGAATTATAAAGTAAGATTAAGAATTTAGAAAATGAATTGGCTATGTGGAAAGATAAATTCAAGTTATCTGAAGAAGATAGAAACAGATTATTATAAGAATTAAGAGAATTATTGGAAAGAATGAATCAATTAAATTTGGATACAGTTAAGAGAGGTCAATTATCAACTATGGATTTATTAGAGGATGAGAATAAGAAATTAAGAGATTAAATTAATTAAATATTAAATGATTTAGATTAATGGAGAAAAAAGGCATTAGCATTAGAATTATAAGTATTTGATCTTTAGGTTCAAGTAACTGATTAAGATAATAATAATAAATTATTAGTTAGAGAAATTGAAAGATTAAATCAATAATTAGCATCAAAATAATAAGAAATAGAAAGATTAAAGACAAAGTAATAAATAATATATAATTAGTCTCTAATAAGCTGAAGATCATATCAAAGAATTATAAGGGTTAAAACAATAAATCTAAGAGAAACAAAGAGTAATTGATGAATTAAAAAGAAAAAATGATGAATAAGGTAAATAGATTCTTGAGGGTGAGAAGTTGAAAAAGTAATTAGATTAGATTAGAGGTTAAAATTAGGATTTGTAAAAGTAGAATGGTGTATTAAATTATTAAATTGATTAATTAAATAGAACACTTGAAAATAAGTAGTAAGCATATGATAAACTTAATAATAAATTAAAATTTGTAGAAAATGATAATAATACTTTAAGATAATAGGTTTTAGAAATTAATGAATTATAAATTGAAAAATAAAGTTTATTATCAGAATTGTCATCATTAGATAAAGAACTTAAATTAAAGACTGAATAATTAACTAATGTTGAAAAAGAATTATAAAATTTATAAGAGAAATTACAATAATTAAGAATACTTGAATTGGATTTAAATAGAGCTAAGTCTTAATTGGATATGAAAGACAGAGACATTGCAGAATTAAGAAAGTAAATTAAAGATTTGACTGTTAAAAACTTTGAATTGGAATAAAGATTAAAAGAATTGATAAATAAAGAAACAGAATATTTGAAGATTTTCTAATAATGTGAAACTTATAAATCATTAAATGATCAACTTAATTTATAATTAGCTTAATTAGAAGCAGAAAATCAACAATTATAGTCATAAGTTGATGGATTAGGAGAATTATAAAGTTAATTGAAAGTTTTATAATAAAAATATGAATAGACACTTAAAATAAATTCAGATTTAAGTTCAAGAAATTAATAATTATAATAATAATTCTAAAATATATAATAATAAAAGAATGTTAATAATTTAAGAGATAATTAAATTAATATTGAATTATAAAGAAATAATACACTTTTAAATTAAAAATCATAATAAATAGAAGATTTGAAATTGAAATTAGCAAAAGCTGAATAATAAATTGATTCACTTAATAATTAATTATAAAATAAATAATAAGAATTAGATAATTAGATTGTGTTAAATGCAAAATTATAAGATAGAATCAAAGAATTAGAATCTGAATTACTTAATCTTAAAAAAACTGTACAAAGTTTATAAGATTAAAATAATTCTATTAAAAATGATCATCATATGTAACTTTAAGAATTGAGAGAAGAAATTCTACGTAAATAAGAAGAAATTAAAGCTATTTAAAAATTAGCTGATTAATATAAAGAAAAATATTTAGAAAATGATCGTTAATTAGCTGATTTGAAAGGTCTTGAAAGAAAATTAAATGATATTACAATTTAAAAGAATTAATTGGCTGATTTAAACACAAATTATTAAGATTAAATAAGCAAATTACAAAGTGAAATTAGATCATTATAAATTAAGATTCAAGAAACACATTTATTTGAAGATTAAAATAAATAATATGAAATAATAATTGAAAAATTAAAAGCAGAAAATTCATTAAAGAGCAAAGAAATTACAGAACTTAATATATAATTACCTACATATATGTAATAAGTTTCTGATTTAGAGAAGAAATTATTAAGAACAGATCAATAATTCTAAATCTATAAGAATGAAGTAGAAAGATTGAGATTAGAAAAATAAAATTTATTAAAAGAAATTGAAGAACTTAAAAGAAAAAATAAGACTTAAGAATAAAAGATTAATGAACTTAATCATTTATAAGAATTAATTCCTTAATTAGAATAAAAAGCTAATAGGTTATAAAATCAAGTAGATAAATTATCAAAATAAAATTTAGATTATAATGATTAAATTAATCTTTAAAATGAGTAATTAAGTTAATAAGAATTATAAATTAGAACCTTATTCTAAGTAAAATCAAATTTATAATAATTGGAATCTAATTATTCTTTAGTAGTCTAATAATTGAATGATTAAAGACTCTAATCTACAAAATTGGAATAAGCATTTTTAAATGAATAATTATAGCATTAAAAGACTGCTGATGAATTAAAGAAATCTGTTAAAGAATTAGATCAATTAAGAAATAAAATTGAATAATTAGAGAAATTAATAAAAGAATTGGAAGGAAAAATAATAAAAGATAGAATATTAGAATAAGAATTAAAAGAAGCAATCGGTTTCAACCTTACTTTGGATACAAAACTTACATAAGTAAGATAAGAAAATGAGTCTTTGAAAAATGAGATTGTTTAATTAAAAGAAGAATTAGAGTAATGGAAAGCTAAATATTTATAAAAAGATAATGAAGTTAAAACATTATAAGTTTATAAAGCAGAAGCTATATAAATGAGATTAATAAATGATGAATTAACAGATAATTTTAATAAATTAACAAAATAATTGAAAGCAATTACTTTAGAGAAATAAATAATGGAAGAAGATTTACAACATTAAATTGCAGATTTGAAATAGAGAATTGCAGAATTAGAATAATTAGTAGCATAAATTGAACCATTACAAACTTAAATTAATGATTTATAATAATTGGTCAATAAATTATAAAGTGAAAACAAATAATTATCCAAAAAATTAGGAGAAACTTAAACTAAAGTTAAAGAGTTAGAAAGTAAAATAGAAGCATATGAAGTAATGGAAAAGGATTATTAAAAATTATAGACAAATTATGCTGAAAAGTATTATTATTAAAAATTATATTTTAGAGCTTAAGATTTGAGGATGACAAAAGAAGATTTAGATAAGACAACTTTATAATTGGATAAAGTGACAAAAGAAAAAGAGAATTTAGATATGAGAATAGCTATGTTGGCAGCAGAAATTGAGAGATAAAAACATTTAAATAAAAATAAATAAGAAAAAATAGATGAATTAACAAATTAAAACACAGATGTATTATTAAATAATAATTTAAATAGTTATCAAATGTTGTTGCATAACTTGAACCATTAGATCCAGAAAATACAAGATTATCAGAATAAATTTAAGAAATGAAGAAAAAAGCAGATCAAGATTAATTGGATTTAATGAAGAAAGATGATGAAATAAATAAATTAAATAATGAAGTTTATGGATTGTAAAATAAAGTAGCTTTGCTTGGACCAGAAATAGAGAGAGCTAAACTAAAATATAATGGAGCATAAAATACAATAAAGGATTTAGAAGAAAAATTATAAGATTATGAACATTTATAATAGGAATTATAAAATTTAGATAATGCCTTAAATTAAGCTGAAGAGAAGGTTTAAAATTTAGAGAAAGAAAATTCAACTCTTCATTAAACATTAACAGCAAAGTCAGATGAATTAAACTAAGCTAAAGCTAGGTAAATTTTGATTATAAATATAGTGTAAATGATCTTTAAAACTAATTGAATTTATTGAATGAATAATTAATAAATTAATAATAATTAGAGAATGAATTATAATAGAGAGATCATGAGAATTAATAATTGAAAGAAAAGATTGGACAATTATAATAATAAATTGAATAATTGGAATAGATTAAAGTAATAAATTAATTAATAAATTTAGTATGATAATGAAGGTAAGATAGCTATGTTAGCCACTTAAATTGAAGCCTTAAAATACAAATATTAAGTAGCTGAAGGTAAATTAAAAGAACAAGAAGATATAATTGGATAATTGAATGATGATTTAGATAACTTTGACAAACATATTTAAGAATTAGAAGGTGAAAATTAAGATTTAAAGGCTAAAATGCAATAGCAATCAATTAGAGCTTATTGATACATTCATAAATATAATATATAATAAAATAAATTAACATATGTGTCCTAATTTGACAATAATTATGCTGTTACTTTTGATAGGAATTGCTTATTCTCAATAATGTACTTGGACAGATGATTCAGGATACACATATAATTTAAAGTCTTTAGATAAAGATGGAGGATGGTAATTGAAAGATGAAACAAGTGGGATGGGAATGTTTAGTATGGTGTACATATTCAATTTTTGTGATTTTAAACCAATAAGATGTCATGATAGATAGGTGGGAGCTATTGAAGCATTGGCAGTGATGGGATAAATAACAGAGAATTGTGATGTTGCTGGATTAGTAGAAACTTAAACATTCGAACATTTGGATTAAAGAGATTTAAATAAAGGAATAGTTGTAAAATATACTTAAGGAGACTTATGTATGGATCCAAAATAACCTACTGGAGTTATGTAACCAAGATAAGCTCATTTTTTTATTGAATGTGGAGATGATGATACTACATTCACAGTATTACCAGATAATGAATGCATAGATCAATTTAAAATTAGACATCATGTTGCCTGTAGAAATGCAAGTATTTATTCTATATCAATAATTTAGGTTCACATTGGTTTCTTAAATTCATTTTCATTATTTGTTTATATTTTGGGGGCAGATTCCTATATAATCGTAAGAAATTGTAAATAGAGGGAGAAGAAGCTATCCCTCATATTCATAAAATCAAAACTCTTATTCCTAAAGTTAGAGCACTTTTTCATTTTGGTGTAGATAGGTTGTAAACTCAAGTCTAGAGATTTAGACATGGTGGTTATGATAGTATATGAATAAATTAATTAATTAAAATATCTATGTACAGATTTCGATAACTTTGGAAATTCAGTACACTCTAATTCCACAAAGGAGTTAGTGAGTATTAGAATGTTTCCTAGAATGTAGCTCTAAGAGGTGTTACTCTCAAAGGCAGATATAATGATTTACCAAATTTGATCTTCTTTCCTGAAGCCTGTGATCCTGTTGAAAATTGGATCCCTTTCTTTAGTGACCCAAACAATAAGGTAGAAAAGTAGTGTGAATTTGATAGATTCTTGATTATAGAAATGTGCATATTTTGAGTCCAAGAAATTTTGGTACATCAGATAAACATTACTCTTTTGATGTTGAAGATCTAGCCAATGATGTTGTTAGATACATGTATTATAACAAAATTACTATGGCAACTTTGGCTGGACATGGATTTGGAGCAAAGGTTGCTTTAGCTGCTGGATGTTATCATCCTGAAAGAACAACAGGTGTGTTTTGCATTGATTATTCACCTATGGATTAAAGATTTCATGAGGCATTTACAGAATTTAGAGGCTTTATTAAGAAATTATCATAAATTAATACTAAAGAAATGACCAAATCATAAATTGAGGCATTTCTAAAAGAAAATATAGAGGTTAAATTATTTAAATATTCCTTTATAGTGTGTTAAATGGAGATCTATTTTTAGTGATAATCTAATTAAATTACCATCAGGATAATGGGATTGGAAGTTTGCTCTTAAATTCCTTAATGATAATATTTCATTTAATAAAGCTGATTCTCTTGCTTTCTGGCCAGTCAAAGCAGGACTTTTTACAGGCAGAGCTCATTTTGCATTCCCTGAATTTTCAAGATGGGTTCATTTAGGAACCAATACTTTACCAATGTTGAAGGTATGCCCATAAGTGAGAGGTTTTGGACATGATGTTCATTCTGTTTAAGGAGATAATAACACATTAAGTATTTTATTAATAATTTTATTTAGATCATTGGATTTATGAATTTAAGGATTAATCATTTGTTTTTGCAAGTCGATTCACTAAGTAAATATAAATATTTATTTTAGATTCTTATCTATGTATGATGGTGTTCATCTTTTACTTAAAGACAGAACTGAAGTTGGAAAGGAATTTGTTCCTTCTATCATTTATTCTAAGAAGGATCCCAATCATGTATATTCAGACTATTCTCCTGCTCATTATTATCATAATTGGAGATTCAACAATGTCTACAAAAATTAAGATATTCAAAATAAATGATATAATACCATACAATATTAAATAGAATCTAAATAAATTATAGCATTAATTAATAATTCTTATTTCAATTTATTAATTTCAACTTTAAAAACTTTTATAAGGGCTAACAATAATAAATAAATCTAAAATCTATATTTTAAAACTGACTCAGTAAGAAAATTAATATATCACTCATATAAATGTAAATAACAAAATTGAAAATTATATTAATTAATGGATTCAAGTAATTCTCAGGATGATTCATATTAAAAAGTACAATAAAATTGTGAATTAAGGATTCACTGCTTGATTTGATTTTAAAACAAAAAAAACCTGGATGTTATGAAAATGAAAAATTATCAATAGATTTCTCTAATTCAATCATGAGTTTAGGTATGTACAAGAAACCGAAACAAATTTATATCCAAAATACTCATCATACAAAAGAAATTCACATTTCTATGATTAAAGGTAAATCAACCAATTTATTTAAGAGATTAGAGATCAATCAGTCTTTTAAGTAAAATAGATATCTTAAAATAAGAGAAAAATAAAAAAATAATATCATATAATAGATAAATATATGGTGAAGACTAATAAATTGAAGCAAGAGTACAAAGAGTAATCAATACAGTCAGAAGAAAAAGTTGTCTTTGTTCTAATTGTGGCCAATAAAGTGAGTTTGAGAAACGGTCAAATACATTTTAGATAAGACCCTAGCATCAAATTATTTCAGAATTGAGAATAATGAAATACAATACAAGAAATTAAATCAGGTAGTAATCTTTAATTAGAATGCATAAAATACAATAATTATAAACTAAAAAATTTCATATATCAAGTTTGTCAACTTAAATGGAGAATCAGATTCAATATAATTAAACACCTGTATTAGTAGAACCACCTTTAGTAGAATTAAAGATAGATTTCAAAAAGAGAATGACTCCTAAACCAGTTGTATTAAAGTAATATCTTCCTACACAGAAAAATTATTTTGTAAATCAATATCATATAACAACGAGAGTTAAAATAAATAATACTCCTATTTAAAAAACTCTTCCATCCCTTTAATCCTTTACTTAAAGCAGGAAACATCTTTTTCAAAATAAATTCAATTGACAATTTAATCTGAATAAGTTGTAATTTATAAAGAATTAATATATAATATTTGATGATGATAATTAAAAAAAAAGTCATATAAATAATAAATAATTTCTTAACATCTATAGAGTAGCGCACTTTTTTGATAAATGACATTTTTTTAATTTTTTACTATTATTATATTTTAAATGAGTTAAAACACAAGAACTAGGTAAATATATATATTTAATGTAAATATAGAGCCAATAGCTAATAGAGTTAGATATCTAAAAAAAGCATTCGAAAATATAGTTCTGATTACTATGAGTCAGATGCATCAGACTCAGAACCTATGATTAAGAAGAGAGTTGTAAAAATATGGACACCTGAGGAAGATGAGATGCTGTAAGACTTTTATGAAAAATTTAATGGAAATTGGACACTAGTAGCCTAAGCAATACCTGGAAGAAATTAATCATAATGTTCATAAAGATGGAAAAGAATAAATCCAAATAGAGTATGTATATTAGGAATTATAATAAGATAAAAATGAGAAAGTAATGGACAGAAGAAGAAGATAGATAAGTGTTACGTTTGATATAAAAGTTTGGAAAAAATTGGAAAAGAATTGAAAATGAAATGACTGGTAGAAGTGGGAAATAGATAAGAGAAAGATTTATAAATAAATTAGATAAAACAATCAATCATGATCCATTTGATGAGAAGGAAGATGAAGAAATCTATAAATTATATATAAGTTTGGGTCCTAGATGGAGTGAAATATCAAAGAACTTAAAAGGAAGACCTGTAATCTTTTAATCAAATAATAAAGGAAAACTCAGTTAAGAATCGGTTTTACTCTCATATAAAGAAACTCTATAATATTTAAACAAAGGAATCTGATTCAGATGGTAAGGAGATTACTCCTTAATAGTAATATACTAAGTCTGATTTCACAGGAAAAGATTATTTAAGAGAATAAATATAAAATGAAGATAGAAAATTAGATACTATACAAAGTTAGTTTGAGTAAGAAAATTCAATAAACAATTTATAATAACTTAACCATTACATGTAAACTTCATATAATGGACTTGGTAAAGGAGGTATATGAAAATATGATAAATTATATAGATTCTCTAAATTCTAATGGAGACTTCTTGTAATTTTCACATTAGATGAGTATAGATTAGAAATAACTTTATGGAATCGATAATGTTCACTCAGGATCCAATATATTCCAAGAAATTTAACTACCACATTAAGATTTATTAGAAGAACTAGGAGAATAATAAACAATACAGAAGAAATAATCAGGTACTTAATATCTGAGAACAGACAGTGATATAATTAATTAAGATCTATTATTACACTCTTAATTTAGTAAAATGAGTATGGAATAAGAATGAAAAATAAATATATATTAATTCAATTATCATCATCTACATCAAGATCGTCATCATCTTATTAAATTTCTGGTAATTTTCCACATTATTCTTTTAAAGGAGTATTAAAAATAAGTTCAAAATTGTTTTTGAATTCAGGTAATGGTTTTTTCTTGCTTGGAGGAGGATACATAGGATCAATAGCAATTCGAATAGTATTTTCAACTAAATGATTTATTAATCTAGTAAGTAGAGGACAACATGTTTCAAGACATGGATTTGTATTCACTTCTATAAGCCATGGTTTAAAATCACTATCAATCATAAAATCTAATCCAAATAACTCAAAAGTATAGAAATGGCGATTTGGATCTAAATGTTAATAAGATGCTTTGACAATATCAGTACATAAACTCTTTAATTGTTCTATCGTATTATTAAAATTTAAATTATAGATTTCCTATACATATTTAGTAAAATCATTAAAAGAAACCTTATTTTTAATAATTAATGATTACTTTATTTCCTGTTTCATATTTCCCATAATTTTTACTATATTTTTGAACAGCATCATTAGTCAAATGGGTATATTTACAATCTGTGTCATCTAAATTGAACTCTTTACAACTAGTTCTTATATATCCTTCCTAATACCAATAAGCTTTGAATTGGTGATTTATACATGTTATTAACATAAAACATCTTATATCGAATTTCCTTTTGTTGTATAATAATGGTTTATTTATATATTATTGAACAATAAAAGTCTTCTTTACACCATTTGAATGTATTTCCCTATAAGAAACTAACCTTTTGACTTATGAAATAGAATTGGCTACTTCTATTCCATTTCCTCTATTAGATTATTCTCCTGGTTTTATTATCCACACATTTATATTATTCCTTCTTGCATATTCTTCAAATTACTAATAGACAGGATCCTTTATACCATCTTAAATATGAAATGTTAATGGTATAAATTTAAATGGATCTTATCCTATTGACTCATAATATGATTTCATATTATAATACAATGCTTTCTTATTTGAGATTTAGAAATTGCCTTCTAAATGATTATGTACTCTTAAAATATTACTCGAAACGAAATTACTATACTTTTCTTCTTCCAATTTTAGCTTAAATTTATCATAAACTTATTTTTTTTATGCTTTAGTAAATGTAGATTAATTCCCAGTAATAGTTATTAGGTCCTTATAAAATCCTTGTTTTCTAAGTTATGTCCAATAAAGATTCATATCATTTGAAGGACTATCAATTAATATCCACCAAGATCTAGACTTAATTAATTGTCTAACAAGTTAACCATTATTTCCTTTTGTTATGAATGCCTTATACACTATTTTCTCTTAAGGAATTATCATTAATAAATTTGAGTAACTTACGATTGTAGCAAAATCATTAGGATTTTCAAACATATTTTATTCTTCTTATTTATTTGGAAGAGGCTTTTTGATTGCGAATTTATTTCGTTTTGTATCGATTCTTCTTCGTTCAAGAGAATGAGGCTCAGCAGTTTCAGTAAAGCTTTTTCTGCCATAAACCCTTGTTTCACTATATTTTCTAATAGATATTTCTTTCTTTGAAGTTGTAATTAATTCAGCTTTAGGAGGGTAAACCAAAATAGAAGGTAGATTTTTCTAAGTATTATTTTAAGGAATCTAATTATGTTTCGAAAAAGATTCTTATTGCTTTATTAAATCTACTATTTATTGAAATCCTTTTAATTTGATAATATTCAACTTTGGTTAAAAGAGTCTTGGCTAATTAAAATTTACTTCCTGAAATCTTGTACTTCCCTTAATAACCAATTTTTCTAATTCATTATTGTTATACATTTTATTAATAATCATTATAAATACAAATTAATATTGAAGTCTCAATTTTTTCTATTTTTAGGTGATTTAATATATTAACCAAAGCTTATGTTAAGATCAACTTTCTAATTATTTATATATTCTGTATTGAATGATTAAAATTAATAGAAAATGTCTTTAAAATATTAAAATTATGAAGGAAAATTTAGAAATTACAAATAAAGCCTAGATGTTTAAACCCTAAACTTATATATTATCTATAAACAATGAAATATTTTATAAATTTAGATCTTAAATAGATGATCAAAATATATATTGATAATATATTAAAAGTGTTTGAATTTGTTAAATTAAAGAATCTCACAATTTAATTATAAAAGATTAAAGATTTTAAAAAGTTTAATTCTTTCAAATTAAATTTTATAATAATTATTCTTTGTTATCTTTATTTCTTATTGGATGGATAATCCAACTATTAAACAAATTATTAAATTTCTACAATAATTTTATTGAAAAATGAAACTTATAAAATATTTATTACTTTTTATGAAAATTATTACAAATCTAAGGATATTTATAATGTAAAAATTAATAAATATATTGGGATTAATAAAATATAGCATTTGTTATTATTATAAATATATTAATTTAATAATAATAAATTATTAACAATATATTACTTCTATAATTAATTAGTCATTAATAAAAATTTAGTTTTTATATTAGTTTTAGGGTGTATTTATATTATAATCTTAAAGTTTAAGTTTAAGAAGGGCATTGCGTAGTATTTTTTATATTTTATTTATTCATTAAATTTTTAATGACTGATTTAATAAAACAATTAGATGGCATGTTCACAAGAGAACACCTAGAGAAAAATAAGTACCTTCTAAAAAACTTGGACCCTAATTTGAATCTACCAATAGTGGCACTTCAAAAAGAATACTCACTAGCAAAGCATTCCATTGAAGAAATTTTGGGTGTAAGATTATATATATATCTATAAATGATAGGCTCTGAAGCAATGCAAAAATTGCAAATTGCATGAAGGATATGTGACTCTCTTGATACCTCCACATACAAAGAATATTATAATAAATGAAATCAGTTAAACAAATGCAGATTTCAAAGCTTACCTTATAGAAAAATACTTGAAGAATGTTGAGTGTGAAATAGCATTTGAAGGCGGATGTTGTAGAGTGACATTTAAGGATGATGAAGTTGGTTTGAAGTTTTTAGATTAAGCAGTGAATGATCCAAAAGATCCATTAAAGGCATATGTGGAACCAGAAAATGTATATTAATCACTTACAAAGACTCTGGGATTCAACAATTAAGCACAATACTTATATCAATACAGTAAATGTGTGTTAGTAATGTAGATAATTAAATGTTCTAAAATTTATATATAAGAAAGGCTTCAGATGATGTTGCAGGATAGAATTAATCTGAAAAGATTAATAAACCATATTATCCTCCAGTTTAATAGCAACAATCGAATCCTAGAAAATAATCAGGATAAGAACGCAAAGGAAGCGAATAAGTTGAACATTAAGATAAAAAAACAAAGACTCCAACAACAGGACCTAAAGAAATTTATGTTGAAAAATAATCATTAGAAAAGTAAGAATAAAATGTTAAAAATGTTGAGAAACCTCCTAAGGTTTAATAGAGTCCAGTATTTTAATTTAATTTTATTATTAGTATGTTGAAAAAAAATCAACTTCTAGAAAAACTTCAGAATAAATTTAACCTGCTAAACATAAGTAAATATAAAAAAATATTGGATAGAGGAAGTAAAGATATTTAAGGATCACCAATAAGAAAAGCTTCTATTTAATATAAAAAAGATAATTTAATAGAGATATTTAAATAAATTTAAGGAACCTTGAAAGCTAATCCAAAACTTTAAAAATTAAGTGAATAAGATAGAGCATTGTTATTAAGATAAAATGGTGAATTAACTTTGGAAGCCATTCATCCAACACCATGTATTAGAAAGGAATCAGTAAGAAATTTAATTAAATAAATAGTATGCTTCACCTTAATAACATATAAAATAATCCCCTGCATAGATTCCCTAAAGAAAACCACAATAATGATTATTAATAATAAATATAAAAACGGATTAAATGTCACACAAATCTCTATTAGTTTTGTTATTAATAACAATAGCAATTGCTACAGAGAGTCCTGCTCTTTAGTAATTAAGACATAAATTAGAATCAAATGAATATAATTCACAATTAGTCGATATGTTAGAATTAAGTGTTGCAGGTGGATAAATAGATCGTGTATTTGAGTTGTTATAAAAAATGATTGATGATTTAACTGGATAAATTAATTCTGCAAATTTGGAACATGCTTCAAGAATGGCTGCATTTTAATTAAGCATAGAATAATTAGAAGCAAATTTAGCATAATTATAAAATGAAGTTTAAACAACCAATAGAAAAATAGGAGAAATTACATAATCAATTTCAACACTTACATCTACTAGTGTTTCTATTAAAAAACAATTAGAAACTATAAATTAAAGGGAAGAATAAATTCGAAATAATAGAGCTAAGGAAATTTAATCTGTAGAAACTAAATAAACTGCTAGTTAAAAGACTTTGGAAACCTTAGAAGAAATTCATAATAGATTAGTAAAAGCTGTTCTTTCAAATTAAGGTTCATTCCTTGAAGAAACAGAAAAATAAGAAATAATAAATTAAGTGAAATAAGAATTAGGATTAACACATCCTCTTGCTTTATTATTAGATTTATCTGCAAAGTAAATTTATCTGGATAATTAAGATTTGATGAATTAACAGCTAAAAAAGCAATTGAATTAATTGAATAAATAATTGCATCTATTAAAGAGAGTTAGCAATTTAGAGAACAAAATTAAACAGCAGCAGAACAAAATTTTAATTCTTTAATTAATGAAGTTTCAATTTTAAGAGAAAAATTAGGATAAGATAATCAGAAGACAAGTAGTACTTTAAAGAATAAATAAAATGATTTGGTATGCATAAATGACATATTGACATATAGAAAATTGCATAGAGAAGAAATAAATAGTTGTCTTTGAATTAAGAGAATACTTAATAATTAATAGAAACCACAAGAGTTCAAAAAGATTTATATGATTCAAATTTTAGATCCAATGCTAGTAAGAGAGAAGGATAATTGAATTCGTTAAAGACTGCCTTTTAAATTTTGAGAGACAACGAATAAGCATTGAAAAAATGATTAGATTTATTCACAACAAAAAAAACACGATAATTTTGAATCATTGATATATATCCAAATTCTTTTAAAATCAATCACTTGAAGATGAGGATTATTTTCTTTTTTTAGTTTTTTATTTCTTCTTCTTGTCTCTTGATGATGAAGAAGATGATGAACTTGATGAGCTGGAGGGACTTCTCTTTTTATATTTCTTACTCTTTCTTTTATGACGTCTAAATAAGATTATATTATTACCTTGAACTTGAGCTTGAAGATCTTCTTTTTTATCTACAATTACGAGCACTAATTTAAATAATTATATTATTTACAAATGTCCTATTCTCCCACATTAATAGCATTCACCATCTTTTTTTTTGGCCCTAGCTATCTCAACAACAAAAGTGTTTCCATCTAAGTCTTTTTAATTCATTTCATTCACTGCTTCTGTAGCTTCTTCTGCTTTTGAATAAGCCTAAAATAATATATGCTAAAATACAATAAAACAAAAACGACCCTTCCAAGAAAATTCACTAATTTCTCCGTATTTGGAAAAAAGACCCTTGATATCATCCTCATTTTTATCCTTTGTTGAATATCCTGTAACAAATATCCGATTTTCTGTCTTACTTTGATCACTCATTGACATCCTTAAATTAATTAATTTATTTATTAATAATTAAATTTTATTTTTATATAATGGGTTAATGTTAAGTACCTCAAATGCAATAAATTGAAGATGATTTTGCTGCTATTTAAAGAAATGCTGTCACTCTAAAAGCTGTACCAGAAAAACTCAATTAATTGGAGGCTTAAATAAATAGTATCAAGAGTACTGCCGAATAAGTATTAATACCTTAATAAACTTATAGCTAACTACTTCTGTCAATAATATTACATAAACTCTAGAAAACATTAGAAAGAGTCTTCCATGATACAAATTACAAAATTGATTTATAATTACAGTTATTATGTTATTCAATAAAATCCTTATGAATCTTACTATAATAAATATGGTCCTTCATGTTGTACAAGCAATCCTATTTATTTAATAATTATTATTCTAAATATTTCCAGAATAACTAAAAGAATTTGAATAATTCATACTATCATTTCTTCTAAAAAGTCCTTATCTATATTAAACTATAGGTGATTTTAGCAAACTACTATTTTCATCAAATTATGAGATATAATTCATCATTACTCTTTAATCTCCCTACTATACTTTTTCCAATTAATTTGAACAATTAAAACATTAAAAATTTTCCTTTCATTTCTAATTATTCTGAAAACAATCACAATAAAGTTTTAAAAATTATGATTTTTTACATTCACAACTAATTTCAATATTCTTTCTAATAAATATTATAAATGAAAATACTTCAATTGATTAATTTTACGATAAGAGTTGTTATAATTAGATTCTATATTTTGTATAATATTTTTAATATTCATTATAATATATTATAATGACTTAAGAAAGAGGAAGTGATAAGAAATAAAATAATATTTGCTTTGTTAGAGGAGGTAATGAGATAGATGATAATTTAAATGAATGGAATTTAGCTGAAAGTGGTTTTGGAAGATAATCATTTTAAAGGAATTCATAAGCCCCAAGGATGTAATACTTAATGGATAGAGAAAGTTAATAAAAATAATAGGATGAAGAGTTTGTTGAAAAAAAGTATTTATTAAATTGTTAATGATTTACAGATCAATGATGAGTATGGAAGATCAAATGTTATAAAAGTAATCCATATAATCATTTTAATCAAGAGGATCTAATTTTAATTTATTTAATCGATTTTCTGGTTATAATATTAATGATTAATAACCTAAAAATAGTCTAACATTTAGTTAAACATTTGAATAATAATAAAAGTTCAGTTTGGAAAAAAGTGAGAAAAGCGAAAAGAGTGAAAAGAGTGAAAAGCAAAGTCTTGAATAAAGAAATTCTTCATTTAGACCATCTAATATATCAAATAGAAAATCAAAAGAAAATGAATTAGAAATTGTATTTGAATGGTAAGATGAATCTAATAATCAAAATGCAATAGAAGATTTAATTAATAAACTTACTTTAGAAAAATAATGTGAAATCATTCCTGATAGATTATCTTTAATACCATTATCTAAATAAGGATGTATATGTAAAAAGACATAATGTCTTAAATTTTATTGTTAATGTTTCTAATAAGGAAAATTTTGTGGAGAAACATGTGAATGTTTGGAATGTTGTAATAATGAATAAAATAAAGAATTAATTGAATAAACAAGAAGTCAAATAAATAGAAATCTAAATGATGAAATTAAATGTTTTTGTAAAAAAAGTAAATGTTTAAAAAAATATTGTGAATGTTATAATGCAGGTAAAAAATGTGGTGTAGATTGCAAATGTGAAGGTTGTATGAATTATGAAATAAATCTACATGAAGCATAAAGATTAAGTGAATTTTAAATATAATAATAAAAGAGAGTGTAATTATCATGAGTAGAATTTTGAATTTTTCACTTTATACATAATAATGCTTGATAATTTAACTAACTCTTCCACATATTAGGTTGATAACTAATTTATTTATCCTTCACTACAATCAATTAAAATATCTGACATCTGTTAAATCTATTACATAGGTAATACTTCTGGCAATTATTTATGCACCATACTAAACCTTTATTATTGTTACTATTGTTTTTGCACTTTATCTTAATTCTCTTTTGCAGCACTAAATAAAGTTGAACTTCTATGATGTTACAATGTTTTTTTCCTTTATACATCTTAAACTTATTATTATTATTATTATGTCTAAAGTGTTGATTAATTAAATTTAGTTTTTAGTACAGTGTTTCTTTGTTAAGAATGAGGACGATGTTCAATTTGAGTCTTTAAAGTAGTCTTGAATTTCTAAAACTAATCAAAAATGTCCATCTTATTTGAATTTTAAATAATAAAAATGTTAAAAATTATCCAGATTTTCAATATTTATAAATCGGATTCTATATTATTAACACATAAGAAAATTAATTATATTTAATAATTAACAATCTATATATATTTTATATATGTTTATGTGATTCTTTTGCAAAATCAATCAAATTTTGGTGTACGTCCAATACTTCTTTGGTAATATTTAAGCATTCTTTAATCTTAATCATCCATCCATGAATCCAAACCATTTTATTAATCCATACTATTATTCATTGCTTCTTCATAACTGATAAAATCAGCAAATTAATCAAATGTTTTTGAACTATTAGTTTTATTCATCCTTCATACCCAGATAAAAATGCAATCAAATCTTCTAAACTTCTATGTGGTCTTGAATAAGCTTCTAATCTATTTTTGAATAATATTTTATCAGCTTCAGCATCCAATCTTTCTAATTCCTTTTCACTTTCTACTTTTTTTGGTGCAACATATTTTGGATCATAATAGTTTGATTTAACCCAAATAAATGATCCAATCATACCAGCAAAGAAAAAAAAGTTGAATCCTCTTAACTAAATTTTATATCATATAAGTTTAAATACACAAGCTTCACTTCTTGCCATTCTAAATACAGTATCCTTCCATCTCAAAACACCTTTTGTTTTGAACATACCAATATCATCCTAATTGAATAATATATTAGCCTTTCTAATTATTATATGAACTTAATGTACCTCCAAACACGAAGATTCCAACTTTGTTTTGAAAAGTTTTTATACCACATTACAAAATAAATAATATTTTTATTAATTAATGAATCACTTGATTTGTTTCTAAAATAACTTATATCTATATTTGATTGACAAAAAATAAAAACATTATAAAGACTATTTGTATATATATGAACATTCTTTATAAGAATATTATTTAAAGTGAAAATATTTAATTAAATAAATAACCTAAATAAATATTTCTATAAAATATTAGATCAAACAAATAATTCTTTTGAGATATTAAAATATATAAAATTTTTATAAAAAATAATTACTTTATTATTACTTATTTGAAAAAATAATCAAAATAAAAAATGCTTAAATTCTTTAATAATTAAATTAGTATTTAAAAACATAAGATTTCTTATGAAGAATCAAAATTATTGAATATTTTCAATATGTAATTTGCCTTAAAACATTATATAATAATTAATTTTACTTAACTCTTTCAATTTCTGATTAATGTATTTTTATAAAATAAAAAATAAAAATTAGGATATATTTTAATAAATCATCATGGTTGTGAATAATCTTGATTCTTTGATTAATTAAAATAATTAATTACATTTAATGGGCCTTTGCCGATCCAAGGCAAGACGAGAGAAATAAGAAACTTCAAAACAACCTTCCACAAAAAAGCAAGAAACCTTTGAAGTTGGTCCCGACAATTTTGTAACATAAAAATAAGGCTAAGTTACAAGTTATTATCGGGTTGAAAAATGTCTTGGAAAAGGTAAATGTTTGAAGTACAATATATAGGTGCTTATGGAGAAGTTCGATTAGTTATTCATAAGCAAACAGGATAAAGAAGAGCAATGAAACAAATAAAGAAAGATAAAATTGTAAAAGAGGACGAAGAAACCTTATTAAATGAAGTCACAATACTAAAATAATTAGATCATCCAAATATTGTAAAATTGTATGAATTGTTTCAAGATAAAAATAGCTACTATTTAATTACTGAGTATTAAAATGCATATATATATTTATTTAGATACTTAGAAGGAGGTGAATTATTGTAAAGAATTTCAGAGTATAAAACATTTACTGAAAAAATTGCTGCCGAATTTTTAAAATAGATATTATCTGCAGTGATGTATTTTCATGAAAGGAAGATAGTTCATCGAGATCTAAAACCTGAAAATATTTTATTAGAATCTATGAAATAAGGAGCAAATCTAAAAATTATAGATTTTGGAACATCTAGACGAATATAAGAGAACTAATTTTTGACAAAGAAATTAGGAACTGTAAATTTTATATTTAATCATTTAGCCTTATTATATAGCTCCAGAAGTTTTAAAAAAGAAATATAATGAAAAATGTGATGTTTGGTCATGTGGAGTTATATTATATTAGATGTTGAGTGGCAAATTACCATTTGATGGATAATCTGATGAAATTTTATTAAAAATTGATATTGGGAATTATGATTTTCCAAGTAATTTTAATAAAATTAATACGTTATAGCTGAAAATTGGAGTGGAATTTCTGATTAAGCAATTAGTTTAATTAAAAAAATGATGGAAAGAGAACCTAATAAAAGGATTACAGCAAAGTAAGCATATGAAGATCCATGGATTTAAAATAATGTTCATGTTGCCAAAATTGATACTCGATAACTTAAAAATTTATAATCTTTCTATGTATTATAACAAAATATATTAAGAGTAAAAATAAAGTTAGAACAGCTTTGATGCAGTTTATAACAACATAAGTAATGACAAACTAAGAAAAAGAAGAATTGATAACTCTATTTAAGTCTATTGATAAAAATGGAGATGGATTATTAAGTAAAGAAGAATTGTTAGCTGGTAAATTAATTTAAATAATTTAGTATACAGTTAACAATATGATCCTTTGAAAGCCTAATAAATGGTTGAAGAAGTATTTGAGAAAGTTGATATCAACAAAACAGGAGCAGTTGATTTTACTGCTTTTGTATCTGCAGCATGTCAATAAGAAAAAATTCTAAATAAAATAAAATTAGAACAAACTTTCAAAATTTTTGATATTGTAAAATTAAATAATTTAAATTGATAGAATGGAGATGGATAAATCAGTAAGGATGAATTATAAGAAATAATGGGAGGAATAGATGATTAATTATGGTAAGAAATCTTATAGACATGTGATGGAAATGGAGATGGCGAAATCTAATTCGAAGAATTTATTACTTATCTTGTTTAAAAATATTGAATTATATAATTAATATTTATTTAATCACTATTTATTAATAATTTCATAAACTAACAATTCTTTGTTTATTTCATTAGCTATCAAAACTACAGTATTTTATGTGCTAGAAGGCATTTAAACTAATTAAAGTTTTGATCTGATCATATTTTCAGATAATGACAAAGCAACTTCAATTTTTTATTCATTTTAAGCCCATCCCATATCATTATTTTACAATCTCCAAAATCTTAAGGATTTGCTAGATTATAAATAAGTTATCACAGATATTGTTTCTATTTGATATAATTTTTAATATACCTTTATTGGCATCTTCTGCTATAATAAAATCACAAATCGAATTCGAATTTTTTTGAATATCTGATTCTAAAATAACACATTAATTCATTAGATTGACAATCTTTAATGATCCTTTAATTATTAAATAATTATACCTTCTAGATTTCCAACCAATAGTAGATTTGGATTTGATTAAAATTAATTAATTATTTAAATTTATCCAAGCATATTGCCACATTAAATAATTGATTCACAGTAAGTATTTTCAAATGACTATTGATTGTATAACATTTTCCAAATTGATAATGTTTAATCATAAGAACTACAAATAAACTTATCATGTTTTTTCAATAAAAGAATAGAAGATATCTATTTCTAATGTTTTCCCTTTATGCCATTCTATTATAATTTAGATTATTAAAAGTTATACACTTCCACAGTTCCTAATTAATCTCCAAGTACAAGACAAGAATTATCTTATAAATAGCAACTTTATGTAATTTGGTTGTTGAATAGGTATTTATGATAGATGTGTGGAACAATCATTTAGGAATTAGTAAAATCAAAAGCCCAGACAACTAATTATTCATTTGATAATGTAAATAAATAAGTTTATGGTTTTGAGTTATTATGTTACTGTAACGGAACAATTTAATCTATTGATTTATGTATTTGTATAATAGGAGTTGTATGAGTAGATAATGTATGAATACGCTTTTAAATTGTATCAAATACTCTCAAATGAGGATCATTACTACAAGTCATAGCAAATATCTATGGAGTTACAACTTCTATTGCTGAAACACAAAAATCTAATTAATATTTTTTTAAAGGTTTTAATGTAAAATCACTACATTGCCCTACTATAGTTTTAGAATGTAAAGCTATGCTATTTTAAGGAGAAAATGTGAGTTTTTAATTTAAACGGGGGGATTTAGATATATTTTAATTGCTGTTGTAATTATTTGCCATATTTTCAGTAGGCAATGAATATTATTTATGGAGATTTTTTGGTTAATATTTAATGGGGGAAACAATCTTTCTAGGTAATGTAATATTTAGTTTAGTTTTAAAATGGTTGTGTATCTAATCAGCCAATTAATTTACAAAACTATCTACACCATCTTAAAATGCAAAAACAGGAAGGTTATAAGTCATTTCAGTTATAGATTCTGCACATTATTTGATATTTTCTATTGGATCATATGGTTTATTAATTAATTTTCTAATTTAATTAATTAATTCTTAAGCTTCTTTTGAATTTGATTGCTATAATTTAAAAATTAAGTTATGCACATTACTGTAAGGATTACATTACTTCTATAAAATATATGAGTCATCCATTATCAGTTTACATATTTTAAATTACTCTTTGTATTTTGTATAAAAGTCTTCTATATCTTATTCCAATTAAGCTTATGCTTAATTGCATTTTTCTACGAAAAGATCTTTCAGATAATTAAAGTCTTCATTAATTAAAGCCTTTTAAGCTTTACAATGTTCATCAACCTTTTTGAGATGCATTTCATTATCTTCACACCATTTTAAAACAGAATCAATTTAATTGATATCTCTTATCTATTTTAAGGTTTTTGAACCTTCCTAAATGGTCTTTGACACTTTCTAAAGCCATTCAGATATTTGAACTATATTTGAATAATGCTCGGAGTGTGCATCTGGACACATTTGACAAATCAAAGGTGATCGATTGCAACTTGGATTAATACATCCTGTTACTATTAATTCTCTTCTATGAATTGGACATTTGATTGAAATATTTTATTCCATTAACGGAACTTTTAATATATAATATTAAATATGCTTTAATCACAGGAGGTATTAAAGAATTATTAAGTAAATTATCCTAATTTTAGGAATCCATTTAAATTAAATCATATTTCAATAGGATTCAGAGACTTATCTTTATTGATAAAGTCAATCAATGTTGAAATATAATTAAATGTTTATAAAAATAAACTTATAAATTTTTACAATTATTTAAATAAATGTAATCCTAAAAAACAAGATTAAAAGAAGTATATAAATATCATTATTAATAAATTAAAAGTATAGATCTTTCTTTGAATAAATAAAAAAATAATAAATTTTATTAGAATTTTAAGTAGATATTAAGAGAAATGAAGCATTTTAATTTGCTCAGATGAATAAATTTTATGCGACAATATAATTAAAAATAATTGATTAAACTTTTAATAAATAAATAATATATTATAATAATATCTTATTTAAAATAGTAATTTTAAGGATAAAATATTATGATAATTTAGATAATCAATATTTTTGTATAAAGATGTAATAAGATATAAAGTCATATTTTGATCTGATTATTGTTAAAACTAAAAATTTGAGACAAAATAAATTAATTATAAAGTAGATTATTTTTATTTTCTTTGCGAAATTAATTACATATATTAAAACCGATAAGTGAGTTTCTAGATTCTATTAAGAATTTATAAAAAAACATTATGTTATATATATATATAGTTATATATTTATATAAACATTATTTTGGAAAATGAACAAATAAAAATAAATAAATTCTTATGAGTTTATATTTTTTATTTGATTTAAGTTGATAATTTCTGAAAATTTCATGACTTAATTGTAGATTTAATTCATTATTTATGGTAAAGTATTTAAATGAATTCAAGTTTTCAGATTGGAAATATTCTAAATATTAGGATTTAAGGAAGAAATTTAATATAATGAACAGTTCGTTTGATATTTTAAAATTTATGAATAGTTATTTGAACATGAGGAAAAGGAACAAGTAAATTTAAGTTATGAGGTTCCGAAGATAAGAGGGATAAGTTATTGATTATATTATTAAATTAAATGCATTTTTTTGTTCATGAAGAAATTAACCTTCTTGAGGTATTTAACTATGATTAATAATATAAAAGGCAGCATAAGATGGAAAATTGGATTTTATTAAAAAATAATTGCTCTCTTTAACTTCAAAATAGCTAGATCCATTAACTTCTAAACATCTATAAGATGCATGTAAGAAATCTGATTATTATGGAAGAAATGCTTTACATTATGTAAATAAATACTTTATAAAGGCTGCTTATAGAGGACATTATGATGTTGTAGAGTATTTTCTTGATCTACATTGCCTCGATTTAAATTCAAAGGATAACTAAGGTATAATAATATTTTCTAAACTCTTGAATAGGGAATTCAGCTCTGATGTTAGTTTGTGTAAGAGGATACAATTAGGACATTGATGAATCTATTATTAAATCAAGAGATAAATAATTGATAGCAGAAACGAAATACAAAATAGCTAAATTACTTTTATAAAGGGGAGCAACTCTTGGTGAATATTTAAAAGATTATATAAATAATCCTTTGCATTGGGCTTGCTTTTATGGTGATTTCAAATTAACTTAGTTGTTATTATTGAAAAATCCTAATCTAAGTAAGAATAATTCTAAAATAGTGCTGAAGAAGAATGATAGAAAATAATTTCCAATAGATATAGCATTAATGAAAGGTAAAGATCAAGAAACTTAGAAAAAGGTAGTTAAATACTTAATAGTAAAATTCTTGGCTCATTTTCTAAAGAGTGAACAACATATTCAGTAGTTAAAAAGTTTAGATGAAAATATGGAAGAAAGTGAATTTGATCTTAATTAAGAAGAAATACATTAGAATACAGTAGATAGACGTAAATATGAAACAGTAGGTTTAAACTATTTATTTTGGGCAAGTGTTTTAGGTGATTTAGAATTGGTGAAACCTTTATTAAAATAATAATTTTCTCCATTTGCACCTTCTTATAAAGGAAGAAATGCAGTTCATGCAGCTGCTTATCATGGTCATGATAAATTAATAGAACTTTTTTTTGAATCAGAGAATTAGAATAAAAAATTTAATGTTAAGAAATTTGTAAACATTATGACAATTGAAAAGCCATAATCAGCCCTACATATCGCAGTTGAATAAGTATTAAACATAATATTGATTTGATTTTAGGGACATGAAAAGGTTGTGAGGTATTTAATTAAAATAGGTGCAGATCATCACTTATATAATTTTAGAAATTAAACAGCCTTTGCATCTTCAAGATCTATAGCCATTAAAGAACTCAGATAAAATTTATTAAAAACAGAAAAGAATTTAATTAAAAGTGGATATAAATATGTACTGGTCGGAACTAATGCAAGTGAAAATTTAGTCAAATAGCAATTAGATAATATTAAAGCAAAGGTTAAGGTAGGTAAATTTAAAGCAGTACCTATAAGATCTTATGATGAATCTTGTTTTTATTATATTGTTAAGGTTTCAAGTGAATTAAAAAATTTAGTTGCTGATTATGAAAAAATGATGATTTATAATTTTAAAGAAGGAATAATTTGTTAATTTGATAGAAATAAAGCAGAAACATATGAGAATTTTCACCATTATCATGATCAATAAATTATTTTGTCATTATTATATGACGAATTTGATTTAGATTAATTCCTTCATGATAAATTATTATTAGATCATTTTCCTTTACATGATGATGAAGAGAAAGTATTAATCTATAATTAATGGAAAAGAGAAAAATGGGAACTATTAAAAGAACCATTATCATTAAAATAAAATAAATGTAGAACACCAAGTGCAATTAAAGCATATTTTGGAGCAGAAGTTGGTTTCTTTTTTGTTTTTTTAAGTTTCTTTACTACTTGGTTATTTATTCCAGCTGTACC